CCTCAGCCGGGGGAGGCCCCCTGTAATCCCCTTCAGCCCCGTCCTTACCCCCGGTTCCCAGTGGGAAACTGGGAAGGGGTAAATGATTATCTGGTAGCTCACCGGAGGAGTCGGAAGGCGATCACATATGACGAGATCACTCAGTGGGGAAACATGGAGCCTGCGGATCTCTCCGCGTTTGCCTCTGCCCATTGCATGGTGGTAAGTGACATTTTCCCCTTTTTCTCTCTTGTTTTGCCCTTTTTCGCCGTCTTCTGATCTTCTTTTCCGTCAACAGGTGAATTTTGCCATCCATGCCATGGCTCTCCAAACGCGCATCCACCGTGTCGACGCCCTCGACCAGCGGGCTACCAACCAGAAGCGACCTCCTCTGCCCCCCTGAGAATGTTGGGCTGAGACAGGTCCTCTATGTACACGGTTCACATGGTGATGTCGCTGGTGCTGGCTAACCTGGACAGGGCGTCGGCCTCAGCATTCTCTGACCTAGGGATTTGTTTGATAAAGTGTGACTGGAAGTTGAGCAGGGCTTATCTGACTTTGGTTAAGTAGGCTACCATGGTCGACTCACGAGCTTCATACTCGCCAATGACCTGGTTGACCACGAGCTGGGAGTCGCTGTAGATCACGATGTGCTTGGCTTTTATTTCTCTGGCTAAGGCTAGTCTAACTATCAATGCCTCGTACTCCGCTTCATTGTTAGATGTCGTGAACTCGAAGCGTAGCGCGTACTCCAGTTTCGTGCCACTTGGGCTATGCAGGACTATTCCAGCCCCGCTGCCCTATTGGTTCGAGGAGCCATCTACATGAAGGATCCAAGGCTCCTCATCCCAGCTCGCGCTTGGCCTAGCTAGGAGAGATCCCACACTGGCTGCTACCTCATGGGGCTCAGACTGAACCGGCCTGGGAGCTTCGAGCTCACCCGAACTGGGGACCTCGCGCTCGACCGGCCTAGGAGCTTCGGAGCTGAACGTGCACTCGGTAATGAAATCTGCTAAGGCTTGGGCCTTAATGGCAGTTCGCGGCTTGTACTGGAGGTTGTACTCGCTGAGCTCAATGGCCCACTTTGTCAACCGACCAGAGACCTCGGGCTTAAGCAATACTTGCCTCAGAGGTTTGTCGGTGAGGACGATAACATTATGAGCTTGGAAGTACAGGCAGAGCTTCTGAGCTGCGATTATCAGTGCGTATGCTAGCTTTTCCATCTTCGTGCTTCATCCGACGTTGCTAGAGGAAGCCATGAGCATTGGATTGTTTCAAGGAGGGAAAAAGGAAGAACTCCCGAGGGGTTACCCGACGGGAACGCTCTGATGCTTAAGTTAGTATTGTGTGCAAGAAGCAAAAGGAGAACGAAGGCTAGGAGTGAGGATAGTGCGTTATCACTATGTTCAGGAGGTCGAAGATTCAAGAAGAAGTTTCCCTTCTGCCCTGAGGGCTTTTATAGGGACACTCACATTAGGTCGGGAATAACCGCCACTGGGCTCCTGCCACAGCCGTTACCTGCCAGGTCCGCACAGGTGGCCGTTGTGGTGTATGCTTCGCCCGGGTGAGTGACACGTTTCCAAAGTGGCAGGCACGCCTTTGCCTGTCGAGAGACGTGGACGCAGACTGTCGAAAGGACTGGGACTGCGCCGTCAGTAGAGGATATGGCGCAGTCTGACCGGTACGGTTTGTCAGTCGGAAGCTTCCTGGAGGGCGCTAGTGCGGCTCGCTTGCGAGCTATCTCGTGGCGAGCTTGGAACACTCCAGGATTACCTTAGTAAAATTGGTCATCGGAATGACTTGTTCGTTAGGGATCTCGGGCGAGGTAATAACTTTAGCTCGCGAGCTACAATTGCCTCGGGGTATCTCTTCGAAGATAGCACGGGGAACCCGGAGTTTGCCTTGCGGTGGACTCCTCCCCTCGTGAGCTGTAACGTAGCGGACTGCTTCGTGGGCCCGTCACTTGGTCGCTCTGGGCTTCAATGCTAGGCTGTCGCTCATGCTAAGTTGACATCTACGTGTCACCGTTTCATAGGTTGGGTCAAATCATCCTTCATCAATTCTTTCCCTCATTTTCTCTCCCAATCTGCTTCTTTCTTTTTTCATCTTCCTTCGTTCTCCTTCAACCAAATGCTCATCGTCTGAGTCACTATTATAAAAAGGTAATAAATATTTATAGTTTTGTGGGGACAATAGTTTTTGTGAACCTTGTCTCTACAATTTTCACCTTTTGCATTGGATTAATTTATTCTCAATCATCTCAATCCCTTTTAGTAGTTATTTTTTTTCAGCATCTGTTGGCTAAATATAACAAATGGAGTAATAATAACTAAAATGAGGATTGCTTTCAAATTTTCCCTCAATTTTGTTCTTGAAAGGATTTCATAAATTCATTCAATCAGCTATGAACTATTAAGTGGGCCCATGTTGTGTCTCTGTTTTTGTTTTATTATATATATATATTTTTTTCTGTTTTCTTATGTTAGTATACGACGAATTAGAATTTTGGCTTGGCCTTTTTTTGTTGATCAATTTGAAGAGGCTTTGTGTTCGAACAACCTTTATGCCTGCCAAAATTTTACAAACTTTTTTTATCCGATTTGAAATTATCACAAACAATTTCTTCCTAACTTTCTCTAAAAGAGTAACTTATCTGAAAAATGAAACTCCCACCCCTTATTGAATTTGAAATATAATCACAAATAACAGATTTTAATATCAACAAAGCATTTTTTATTTTTTGCCCTTTTGGCCAGTGGAGGGTGGTTTGTTTATGTGGCGGTGACGATGATAGTTGAAGGAGAATGGGGAATGGGAAAAAGATGGGATAAAGGGATAGAAGAATAAAGAAAGGGAGATAGAATCTTGAGAGAAACAACAATGTTGTAATGATTTAAGCGGTGATGGCAATAGTTGAAGCTTGAAGGAGAAAGGAGAAGGGGAAGAGAGAGGAGCAAGGGAGAGAAGAATAAAGAAGGGGGGATAGAGAGAAATGTTGGTGGTCTTCAAGCTAGTGGCAATTGTGGTTGCAGCGGCTTAAGCAATGTGAGCTCGAGGTGAGCATTATTTAGTTAAAATCGAAATACCGAATTGAAAATTTTGGTTTATTCAGTTTTTGGGTATGGTTCGGTTAATTCGATTTTTAAGAATTTTGGTTTTCAGTTTCGGATTTTAGAATTAGAAATTTGGTTAACTGAAAAAATCAAATTAACTGAAATTTATTATATAATATGTAATATATAATATACAATATTATGCACTTAGAATGGTGTGTGTTGGGATGCACTTCCATTCATAAGTGAACACATCACACAGTTCGCATGGGCACCCGATTTACATGTGCGGGAAAATTAAATAACAAGTTTTCATTATATTTACATGTTGCAATTTTAAAACAAAAAACAAAAAAAAGCGTGAAATAAGAAAGAAAGCAATATCCAATCTTTTTGACTCAAAATGAGAGAAAGAAACACAACCAAACCCTATAGTTGGATGGATGCCATTAACGATTGTAGAGATCTCTTTCTTCTTCAAGTTTCAGCTAGGGGCAGAAGCCATTAACGATTGCAACTCCATAGCAGAATTTTTACAAAGAAAATTGTTTTTATTCTCAAATATTCCATCAAAAGCGGGAGTCATTTGCAAATATACTTGTCTAATTGTCTTCAACCTTTAGCTAAGACTACAAGTTTCATGTTGTTTGAAACTAATTTTTTAGCTTCAGTCAAGGATGAGTTACAAGTATTCTTCAGTTTTGGGGTCCGACCGAAGCCATCTCACCTAACTCATGCTATTCAAAAACAATGGGTTGAGATCTTGCTGAAATTTCGCGTTGTTGACAACACTCAGTGTAGCTTTACCTTGCTGAATCGTTTCTTCTTATACAAATCATTCATAATTAGAATTATCTGTTTCAAAAATATTTCTAATCTTAAGTTATCTCTGCTTATTTTTCGCACAAATGGTTTTTTCTTATGCAAATCCTTCATTAATTGAACTCCCTGTTTCAAAGTACTCTCCGATCTTAAGTTCTGCTTATTTTTCACATGGATGGTTTTTTCTCCATCGATGGGATAATTCAAACTATATTATGGGAAAATTCCCGATTAATACCCTATACTTTGGGTCTAGTGTCACTTTGGTTTCTGAACTTTAAAATATAGCAATTCAGTACCCAAATTTTTAAAATATGCCAATCCAATACCTGCATTAAACTTTTAAGTGAAATTTGAAAAGACATGAATGCCCTTTGACTGTCATAATTCTGTATTAATTATCCAAACATTGGTAAAAAATGAACAATCCCAACTTATTGCCTCTTCTATTAAAAAAAAGTTGGGATCATGTCTTATCAAATATTCAAGAAGAGGCAAGTATTTGGGACTGTTCATCTTTATGGATATTTGGATGATTAATAAAGATAATAATTAAAGACATTTGTGTTTTTTCAAATGTCATTGACATTTTAAAATTTGAAGATGAAAGTGACACTAAGTTCAAAGTAGATGCTAATATGAAAATTTGTCTATTTTTATGTATTTATTTAGACTTATTTTAAAATATAAAAAAATATTAACGGAGAGTGTTATTAAAAGACACTCGTACCTACCTGACGTGTTATCAAATGAATGGAAGTAACTAGATAAATGCTGATGACCATAGTGAGCTTTCGACTTTGTAGTTTGTAAAACTAATATAAGGTTTACTGGGGTTTGTTAAAAACTGCTCCGATCTTCTCCGGCTCCGGTAATGCTTAAATGGGTTTGGGAAAAGCTCTACACGTGTGGACTAAATAGGGTTATTTCGATAAATAAGCACGTGCCATAAACGTAAATAGAAGTTTAGGTAGTGAAGTGACGTAACCCCCGGGGGGTGGGGGTATATGGAAAAATTGTAGCTTACCCAAAAAAAGAGAACAAGAAAAGGAAAAGCACCGGCAGTCAGTCCAGTTTTCCACCTCGCGGTCAGCAACTGTCATAGTCACTCTTCTTCCCTCGTACGAACCCTCTTCCCAGCACTTCTCCTCTTTAATCTCGTATCGTCCTGTAAAGAGCATGAAGATCGAAGAAATCTGTAGTTTCAATTTATCCTTTATTGCCTACGTTTGATGGCGGTAGATTAAGAAATGTTGAATTGTTTGATGTGATGTAGTCTTCTGTTCAGATTACGTTTTTTTTTTTTAAATTCCCCTCGCTTAATTTATTCTGTTTGAAACTGATTATTGATCTAGTAATAGTTATCGAAGAATAAGAACTATGTAATTTGTTGATGGATTGCAGTTTCGATTTTCATGCTTTCACAAAATAAAAAAGAAACAATTTAAAGCCTTTCCTTTTAATTCCTTATGTCCAGTAGTGGCGAGTAGCAGAGGATCCTCGAAATTCAGAGAGGCCGTCTGTATTCTTTTTTTCATTTAGCAGAGGTTGTTTTTCCCTTCTATTTATTTTACTGCCCAAAATGTTGGAATTGTTTGTAATACAGTATCGCTTACCAATAATTTAAGAATTGTTTATTTCCCTTACTTGAATGCACTAGAATCATATTCCAGTAGGTTGATCTTTTTTTTCCTCCAAGTGCGTTACAAGGTTCGTTGTGTTTTTAAAGGGTAAACACACTGTTTTACTTGTCGAAAAGAAATCACATTCTTTAATACCTGGTTCAATTTGGTACTTTTTTTTGTTGATAAATAATTTGGTACTTTTATCTGTTCATTATTTTTAGTGGAAAACAAGATGCTAAAGTTCTTATCTCAGCTAAATGTCAGGACCTTCCCAGAGAGACTAACCCCCAGATCAATTTGTGCTTCTGGATAATTTACATTTTTTTTTCTTATCAATACCTTCCTTGTTCTTGGTTCCCTGTGTTATGTTCTTATGCTCTCTTTACGAGCTTATACTCGTTCTAGTAGGTTATCTCAGTTGTGTAAGACATGTAAGTTCCAAATTAAGCAGAGGTTCATTCATTTATTTGATATTGAAGAGTAATACCTGAATTTTATGTGAAATTTGCAGTTTGATTCAGACTCCTAAGAGTGGAAGGTGTACACATTGCTGTGAGTGAGGGAGACACTGAGAGTGTTATATCTATGCTAAATTGCTAGGTATGCCTTATTTACATCTCTATATAAATGTCTATTCCTATTAAAGCCAGGCCCCTTTATGTGGATCAGTTAACGAAGTTGAAGAAATGTTGATATTTTAGATCAAGCATTCTACTTTGTAGTTCGAACATCTTGCTTTTCAAGTCTTTGTTTATCTTAACTTATCTAAAAAACTTGTCAAGTCTTATATGTTCTAAAAAATGCTAATTTTTGGTTCTTTGAGCTCAGAGTATTAATTAATCCAGAGCTAATTATGTTTGCCTTAACTTCAAAGGGCCTTCATAAATCTTAATTTTATGGGGCTTATTTTCTTAATGTCTTTGTTATTAGTTAGTTTTTTTGAAATTTATAGATAATGAAATCCCAGGTAGTGTAAGCTCACAGAGAAAATTTGGTTGCATTTAACCTTAGTTGACACAATGCATGTGCTTTTAAGTTTTAAATTTGTGACTAATCTAAAAGTCTCAGCCATTGCCAAGAGGAAAAAATCTAAACTAATAAAGAGGAACAAAGTTAAGACAATATGTACTAGTGAAAAATAATATAAGAACATGCATTTAGCACTTCTCTTACATTATTTTAAGCACTTCTTTAGAAGTAACCCACAATGGTCTCCTCCATGCCCAAACATTTTTTTTATTTTTATCAGCAACACAAACAAATTGATTCATTAAATTAAAATGGTGAAATACAACAAGAAGTTGTGGGCAGAAACAACAAGCCCTAGAAGAAACCATCCCAATATTAAGCCCAGAACATGGATTGTCTCTGAATTCCTTGTTTAGCTAAACCATCAGCCATGCTGTTTGCAGATCTTCTAATCCAGTTTATTTGGATCAGAATGTATTTAGATAGATGTTTGCAGATCTCCTCCATGCCCAAACATGACCAAGCTAAATTTTGATGAATGTAGCATGGGAATCCAGGTCCATCCGGAATAGAGGGACTGTTCTGAAATTGGGAAGATAATAATCTATATCTATATTCTGGTCCAATCAGGACAGGTGATTCAAATAGGGCTGAAATATTGGTTGTTCTACATGGCAATATCTACTTCTTAATGACATATTGATTGCAACAGTTATAATATTGTTTTACTTCTTATGAGAGGTTGCACCTTGCACCTCTCTTTGGTTCCTTGTAATTTTCCTGACTATCATTAATAGATGTTCTCTCTTTACTTATAAAAAAGGACATATTTATCGAAGGAGACTCACATGTGATCATAGGATGACTAAGAAATAATGAAGCATGACCATTGAAATATAGGCATATAATGAGGGGAACCATAAAGCTGACAATGGAGTTGAAGACACCATACAGGTGGACTCCTATATGAAGCCAACACTGTTTCCAATGGACTAGCAAAAAATTTGGGGTAAACTGAAGGCAAATATATTGGGGTATAGGACCTCACACCTCAGGGGGAAATTTTGTAGTCCTTGTGTATAACCAGGAATAAGATGGCTAGCCAAGGCTAGCCACCTTATTGGGGTTCTTGTAAGTTGTCACATATGTACATATTTATAATACATTTCCAAATTCAGTAAATGGATTTAACAGTTACTGATAAAAAAGAACCTTCTGTAGAAGTAACTCTCCTATGTATTAAATTGACAGCTGCTTAGATTAGAGTTCAACACTAGTTCACAAGAAAGATGGAAGAGAAGGAAAAGGGCAACGAGAGATGGAGTGCATCAATTGTAAATTTGTCAGAGATGGGAGCCAATCTTGATTCATTACAGAAACTCCTAATGAAGAAGGCTGTTTTTGTAGACGAGGAAACATTTGCCAAAGCATCGCTGAGCTCTGAGCAGGCTCGTATCATCAAGGTATTCTAATTTTTCTGTTTGGGTTTTGGGCATACTCATTTACAATATAGGTTTCTTCTACTCCATGCTTATTTATCTGTCTTTTTCTCTACTACGTATAACTTGTATGCTTGGGTGAGTTTGGTTAATGTTTTTCTTTTTGATTGGTAACATACTGAGTTCTTGGAATTCATCCTTAAAAGTTTGGCTGATTTTACTTTTATAATTTATTGTTATTGTTATTTTTTGTTATTTTTAAGTAGCTAGGGGAGGGGCTACTGGGTTTTACTTGTTTTTTCTGAGCTATAGATGTTATAAATGGGTTAAGATCATTTGATTTGTCTATTGGTTGATTCAAGGGTTTCCATTGTATTTGTTCATGTATAAACTGGAAATGAGTCTGAGATAGTTTATTTTGTTCACTTCGGGTTTAAAAAAAGGGTAAAATGCTGAAACCTCCCTTGAAGTTTCTGACCACTGCTGAAACCTTTTCTGAAGTCTGATAATTGCAACCACCTCCCCTAAACTTTCTGACAGAGTTGTTAGTAGATCCCCTTTGTTAGAATTCTCTAAAAAGAGGAATGAAAATGTCCAAAATACCCATGCAGTTACTTTTGACCAAAATGTTTATTTTCCAAATTTTCTCCTCATATGAATCACTAGCCCAAGCCCTTCCAATCTCTTTTCTGAAATTCAATTATTTTCTAACCCTTCATATCAATCAATCAAAGGTGAAGCTGCAACTTTGAATTCTCTATTTTTTCTTGTTGTTTATAAAGCTTCTATTATTTTTGGTAGAAACTATCTTCGGTAGTAATTGCATGGGTATTTTAGACATTTGCATGCTTTTTGTTAGAGGATTCTAACATAGGGGGTCTACTTGCAACTGTGGCAAAAAGTTTAGGGGAGGTGATTGCAATTACCAAACTCCAGGGGAGGTTTTAGCAATTCACCCTAAAAAATAATCCTCTTTAGAAGTTCTGAGTGAGGATATTATGTTCTTGGGTATGTATGTTTTCTTTTTTGTTGATGTGATAAACTTTGAGTTAGACCAATATTGTGATCATATTGTTTTCTTCCTCATAAACAACAGATCTTTGTGATTAACTTTTTGGTATTTTGAAGACTACATGGAATGAAATCATTTCATTATGCTAATCTAGAGCGGAGTCATCATGGAAGCATTAAAAAACATACAAGCGAGGTCCTGCTGTCATGTAGAATTTTAGGAAATGAATTCATTTATATTTTGTTATTATTAGCTTTCTGCTGATGATTCTATCTTAGATGATAAACTTATATTTATACATTGATAAACCATGTTAGGACAAAGTGAGTTAATTTCATTCCGAATGCCTTCAAAATGGCTCCTTAAAATTATGACTCGGGGGGGGGGGAGCGGTGGCATGTCATGGGGCTTCCCCCCACCCATGGCGCACAGATAGCGCAATAGTTTGTTCAAAAAAAGAAAAGTTATGCCATTTTACTTTCTTTAGATAGGATTTCAGATTTCCCCAAAACAGTTAACAGCCAAAAAAGCGGAGGAGAGAACACTGTCCTTGAAAAGAGGAGAGACTGATAACCATTGTCTTAGAGCCTTCACTACACCAGTGATCATTTTCTCGACCGGGTTACTCTTCTGTTCAAAGGTTCTTGAGTTTCTTTGATTCTTTCCAACCAAACCAACCACGGAACAGCCAAGAGAATTGCAGACTAGGATAACAACCTGTCCTACTCATCCCAACAACCTTCCAAGCATTGAGCAAATCCTGAACAGTGGCTGGTAAACATCCCTGAACATCAACAGCTTTAATGAAGAACATCCAGATCTTATAGGTGAATTTGCAATGAAGAAAGATATGACTGGCTGTCTCCTCTTCTCCTAGCACAAATGGCAAAGGGTATCAGGCAGACTTATACCTTTTCTCATGAGCAATTGCTTGGTTAGGCATTTCTACCACACTGCTACCTAGGTAAAGAACTTCACTTTTGGGGGGCCAACAAACAACCAAATATCCTTACTAGGAAAAGAGAATCTGTATCTGGAAGCAGCATCTGGTAGAAAGTTGTTTATTTTTGAAATTTGAAAGCCCCCTTCTCTATGCTTGAGGTCTCTTCATGACCCTTCGATCTCCCAATCCTTGAATGATTGTGATAACAACCACGCCTTTTCTTCTTCCTCCCTTTCACTGTAACCCAACCATCGTCCCCTTCCTTGTCAGAAAGCTTCTGGAGTGGTTGAAAATCCACACCATCCTTTACATGTAAAGAGATCTCCCTTTCTCTTTCTTTCTCTATTGCTAGATTGATGTCCTTTTCAATCGCCCAGCCAGCCAATCTTTTATGGACAATATCCTTGTCTACCACCATTGCTGAGGAAATGTCTTCCAGAATAGCCATTCTTTCCGGCCAGATGGTAATGATGTACATAACTCCATTTGCAATTAGGTTTACTGATGAAGGAGGAAGACTAATCCATCTTACTTTGACTTTGATACATTCCATAGACCACTTGTAGTAGGGTGACTCATTGACTTCTATGAATCCCCTGCAAAGGTCACCGATCTTTTTGGATACCTCTGAGCTCTAAAAACACAGAGGGAGGTCAGAAACCCTGATCCAAACAAATCCGTTTATGTCTTCTACCTTTGATCATGATCCAAAGCTATCTGATCAGGGTTCTAGGTGAAGGAGTGTGCTGCGAAAGTACCTGCTGCCAATGTTTAAGATTTTCCAAGCTTCTGCAGAATGAAAAGCCATAAATTCTCATCGATTTTGTGGACTCCTACTCCTGTCAGGCACTGTCAGGATTATTCACCCATCTTTGTAAGCTCCTTGCACTAACGGTTGGATTATCACTCATCCAAGTAGGCAAGCTTGCAAAAAGTTAACCCTGTCTTGGACTCCACTGTCCTCTGCTTCTGAGAAAAAATGATTTAAATTTGCTTTGAAAGAACAACTTCCACCTGAAGGTCAAGCCCCTGGAAATTTTAAATGACTGCTGTTGCTTCTTCTTTATGTGACTGCCTCCGAATGCAAGGGAAAACGTCTCCCCATTGGGATGTTTTCTTTTCCCCATGAAAGCATCTAACTACGCTAGGTTAATTTCTGTAAATCCAACCTAGACTTGCCTATCCATTTGGATAGAGATTATCAATGGAAGGTTCATGGATCCACAACAAGTAAAGAGTTGAAAAACAGCCCTTCGAAGTATGGGACTGTGTAAGATTAGATGAAAACCAGAAAAGGCAAACAAATGAGAAGGTTGGTGAAGATGAAGAGAGAGAGCTGGCGGCAAGGAGAGTTAGAGGATGAGAGGTTCGAAAACTGAACTCTCCTCTAACACTCTAATACAATTTTATTAAGCTAATTCTTGAGTAATTACAAGAGAGGCCCTTGGTTGGGCAAGAAATTACAAAAACACAGTATAGAAGAGGATGGGCCTAGAATAAGGCCCATTACAGACAAGAATATAAATATAACATAGAATAACAGCCTATATTCGGCCCATCTTCTCTACACTCCCCCTCAAGCTGAGCATAGATGTTAATCATGCCCAGCTTGCCAGTGTCATGCTGAAGCCTTGCCTTGGGAATGCCCTTGGTGAGAAAATCTGCCAATTGTCCTTCAGAAGTGATGAAGGGAGACACACTTCACCCGAAGAGACTCTTTCTCGAATAAAGTGTCTATCAACTTCAATATGCTTAGTTCTATCATGTTGTACTGGGTTGTGGGCAATGTTGATGGCGGCCTGATTATCACAGTACAACATCATTGGCTTGTCATGATCAATCCCAAGTTCCTCCATCAATGACCTTAGCCACAACAGTTCAGAGACTCCATGTGCCATGGCTCTGTATTCTGCTTCTGCTGAGGATCGGGCCACAACTGATTGTTTCTTGCTCCTCCAAGAGACAACATTACCAGCTACCAGACTGCAATACCCTGAAGTAGATCTTCTGTCATCAATATTTCCAGCCCTGTCAGCATTAGTATAAGCTTCAAGTTTCAGATGACCATGCTTGGTAAACAGAATTCCTTTTCTTGGAGAGCTTTTCAAATAACACAGTATAAGCTTCAAGTTTC